ATTTGAAAAAAAAAAAAAACTAGAACTGAAAATTTTATGGTCATTTTTTTTCTTATTCCCATTTCATTGTATCCAATATTTTAATGAGTTATAGTTTGTTATGGAAACAGGTAAGTACAGGTGTTGAGCTGATGAAGTATATTGCAATTTTCGTCGGCACCACTAAGTCGGTAAAGGACATTTCCTTCCATCACCTTGCCATATATATATATATATCCTTTACCCTATACCAATTCAATTCAATATTGCAACCATATTCTGATAGTCAATTCCCTTTTTTTCCTTTTTTTTTTTTTTATTTTTATTTTAGGAGGGTTTCTGTCTTATTCGAAATTTCAATGAATAAATTTTCATTTGTCCTCTTAAAAAAAAGAAAAAAAAGGTGGAGAGAAAAGCTTTTATTTCACATTTAAATCATTGAAGCATAAAAGATGATACAATGAGAAATCTAAAAATGAGAAAAGATTTAGACAAAATTTAAAATTTCTTTTTTCTTTTTTAATTATTAAAGATTTCCATTTATGCTAATATCATAAATGTTTATTTTTATTGTTAAAAATTAAAAAAAAAAAAGCAAAAATGTTGCATATTCAAAGTTTGAATTTAAAAGTGGGAAAAAAAATTAAAATTATATCATTTAATCTTTTTCATTGTAAATGAAATTTTTATACATTTTATAAAATATATTTGCCAAGTTTTTAACCGAATTTTACCTAATTAACTTATAATTAAATTTATTATTATTATCTTAGCTTAATGAAAATTTTATTTTATAAAATATATTTGTTAATTAAAAATTTTTTTCCTAGTTTTTAAAATAACAATTTGATAAGTAATGAAATAATTCCCCTAAAATATTTTTTTTTTTGATTGCTTAAATAATTTTTGCTCGAAAATCCCTCTAATTTTTTTACTCGAAAGAGAGAAGAGAGAGAGAGAGAGAGAGATGAAGAATGGAGGAGGAAGAAGAAGAAGAGAGAGAGAGAGATGGAGAAGAGAAGAGGAAGAAGAAGAGAAAGAGAGCGGGAAAAAAAAAAGAAATTGGATGAGAAATTGGAAAGGAAAAAAAAAAAAAAAGATTGCTATTGATTCAGTAATATAGCAAAAATGTAAGAAGAAAGATCCGTTGATATACCCGACGACTAACAAAATTGGTTAGAAATGAAAAAAGTATAGGCGGTGAAAAGTAAGCCATTGAAAAATTAGCTATTCCTATGTGCGATAAACCCGGAAATGATAAAAAAAAAAAAAAAGAAAGAAAAAAAGAGGAAAAAACAAAAAAAAAAAGAAGAAAAGGAAAAAATAGCCATCATTAATATTGTAATTATCCCAGCATAACTAAAGGTAGACGACAAAAAAAAAATAAAAAAATAAAAAAACAGCTCATTTGTAATTTGGGAGGAAAAAAAAAAGAAGAGGAATCATAAAAAAGGAAAAGAATTTTTATCTGATCATCGTTATCACTTTCTTATTATGTGATTTGATTAATTCAACTTTTTTTTATTTTTTTTGAACTATGCCAATATGATGTTTTGATGTAGATGTATCGTTATCACGAGAAATGCTGTAGATGTAT